GTCGCCAGTTCTCATCTTCCAGCTCCCCAGATACTCCGCGTACTAAATTAAAGTTGTACTAGTAAGTCGCCAGTTCTCATCTTCCAGCTCTCCAGATACTCCGCGTACTAAAGTTGTACTACAAAGTCGCCAGTTCTCAGCTTCCAGCTCCACAGATTGCTCCGCGTACTACAGTTGTACTACAAAGTCGCTAGTTCTCATCTTCCAGCTCCCCAGATACTCCGCGTACTAAAGTTGTACTACAATTTGCCAGTTCTCATCTTCCAGCTCCCCAGATACTCCGCGTACTAAAGTTGCACTACAAAGTCGCCAGTTCTCAGCTTCCAGCTCCACAGATTGCTCCGCGTACTAAAGTTGTACTAGAAAGTCAATTTCATTCTATTCAGGTGCCATCTCGCGGCATCTGGGTGTCAAGGTTTCATGCCAGCTTTGAGAACCTCCTTGTGAAACCACGTCAAACGTGAAACGCTTCGCCCGTTTGTCGGCTCGATTTGGCCCTGGCATCCTCTACTACTGCCTGATCGCTCAAGGCGTGGAGTGGCATCAAATAAATCTTAGCGGTCGTTCTTTCGACTGGCAGGCTGGGTGGCATGGCTGGTGTGGGCGGTGTGGTTGCTACATAACCTCCAGAGTAAGGACCGGGCAACGTTGTTGTGTGCCATGTTGGTTGCACAATCACCAGCCCTCTTTCGTTCTTCCATTCTCTCTTCCCCTCTCTCTCTCTCTCTCTCCCTCTTTCTCTCTCTCTCTCTCGCTCTCCCCTTCTTCGATTCTGTTGGTTGCTATCACTTGAGGAAGGGGATAAGAGCCTCACCAATCACAGCACAAGTCTGACGTCAATGAAACAGACTGGTCCTGAACCTTCCCAACAGCAACTCTACCCTTCTTAAGACACAGTCAAGTTTAAAGTGGCCAACTTTTCCAAATGGTGAGGATAGCAATTTTGTGTGCAGGACCTTCTCACGCTATGATCTCTCAGGAGGACCGTGTGCACATCTCTTTTTGCCCGCTATGATGAACAGTTTACTTTTCGCAGGTGTGTGTGTTCTTGAGTTCATTTGCCCAGAAGCGCAGGAGGTGAGTGGCCCAGCAAAGAAGCAGACTTTATTGTGAGGACTGTGTGCACGTTCGACATATGTCAAGTTCGACATATGTGACTTTCAGCCGCGTGTCCAGGACGTCCACCATGCCAACCTTGTGGTGCGTGGGCTTGGCTGGCGGTCGGCGGTGGTTTAACTCATGTCTCACCAGTTGGCTTGTTTTACCAGTGGTTTACCTCATGTGAGTCGGTGCTGTTTGCAGCCATTTAATTATTTTAATTGGTGTCATCTACCATGATTCATGCCTCATTGTGCTTCTATATTCCCTAGCTTCTCCTTGAAATTGAAATGTTTTGGATGTTGCAAGCCAGTCTGAAGTCCGATCTTTGCAAGTCCTTAGTTAGCATCACCCTATTGCAAATAATCAGACTGACCACGGAGCTGATGGGATCGCGTGGCAATGGCATCTGATAGGAGGAAGCCACTCAGCGCGTGTCACTTTGCAGTTGAGTTGCGTAAGTCTTGAGGCGCTAGCTTCCCCCTCCACCCCTCCACCGAGGTTTCTTCGAGCTTTCAGTGGGTCTTTGACGAAGGCCAGCAGGGAGGATGAGAGCGATTCACTTGCCGCGAGGTCTTCTCCTTTAGGTGAGACTCGAATGAGCCGCAAAGAGTTTGTACGGGCGGTAGCTGTTGCAGATGACCCACCACCCAAGGCTTCTTTCACACTGGAGGCGATTTTAGATTTCCAAAGATCTCAGTCTTTGGCGCAGAAGGGAGATGATAAGGCTGCTCGCCCATCCACCCAAAGAAGGCGACCCAACTATGATAACTCTAGAAGGCAGTTGTTGAAGCTACAACTTGGCCGCACACCGTAACTTGACTGGACATCTCTTGTTCGCCCTGTTGGGTTTTTGACTTTTGAGTGCTTCAGACTTTTTGAGTGTTTCGCCCTGCTGAGCCGCCCTCGTCGCAATCCATGAGGCATGGCAGCCATGGTGCTTCCCGATCACGTGTTCTTGGTTTGTTGGACAAGCCCTGCAGATGTTCACGAAGAAGTTGCTTTCAACGTTTTCAGAATGTGTTGGAGGAACTCATGAAGTTTCTTTCAATTTTTTGGAGCCTTGCCACCGCGATTCAGGATGTTTTTGTCAGGCGCCCAGGTTGATCACAGTTCAGTGGTGCCATAATCAAGGTAACATGAGTCTGGTAGCA